AATACTTAATTATTATCTTTATAAAATGTTATATTATTAAACCAAAAATAAATTATTTCATTATTAAACTTAAATTAACTTATAATAAAAAAATAAATAAATTACATAAAAAATGAGAACTTTTAAATAGTTCATTTGATATTAACATTGATATTTTTTTTCAAGTTTTTTATGATATCTACAAATTTATATTTTATTCAAAAATAAAATCACTATTGTTTTCTTAAAAACACATAAAATCATATTATAATATCGACAGAGACAAATAATAAAATAGAACATTAAAATCGAGATGTGTCTCACTGCATTGCTCGAATACTCTTATATATATATATATATATATATATATATCTAATATTTTTGGTTTCATGAGTTTACATGTATTCATGGTTTCATAAATCAAATCACTCAAACGAAAAGTGTATAGAAGAACTGACATGTAGAATTTTATCAAAGCTTTTGGGGTTAAATTCTTTAAACTTCGACATGTATTCTCTCTATAAAGTTTAGTATAATCGAACGTATTTGATAGATTAATCAAATCGCTTCGGTAACAATTCAATGTTAATTGGCATCTTTATTCGACGACTTGAATCCATCTAAGCATTTCACACCTTGTTTAGAAAAAGCAAATTCGATTGTTGTTTAATCTTTGATATCGTTTTCACTCTATCAAAAAGATCAACGATTGATTCAATGAGATCGCCGTATATCGAGAGGGCTCGAAAAGCAATCAAACTTTATAAATCGTTTGTTGATAATTTAAACTTACAATCAAAGTCATAATTAATACACATATACGTGTCTTAAACTATTCACATATGGATTTAATGTATATGCATTTATGAGAGTATTTAATTCCATTAAAAAAATATAAACTAGTAATTGAGCATCTAATACATATTCTAATTCGAAGATGCATAAAATTAAACAAAAGAGTACTACTTAACGCTTAAAAACACTATGGGGTTGTTATTTGCATCCCCAACTATTAAAAAAGTAAAAAAAAAAACCTATAAATAACATTAAATGACCTAAAAGTTTGAAAAGTTTTTTCTCTCTCTGATGTCCCCTTTCTCTCTTACTTTTTTGTTTTGTTTTTTAATTAATAGATAATAATAATTTGTTAATTTGTAGTAATTATAATTTTTATTTGTATTATATATTAATCAAATTTAAAACCAATAAAGTGGAAAAACAATAAGCTTTGTTATTTATAAAAAATAATATGTCATTTATTTTATAATTTACAAATTTTAACCATATGTATATAGTCATATTGTTTGTCCTTATAAAAACTTTAAAGATTCATATGCAAATTCTTAATTTTCATTTTATATATATTTTCATAGAATATATCATTAATCTTTCTGCAACTTAAAAATTCATAAAATAATTCATCATTTTTTTCGACTTTAAAACTTAAGAAGTAATAAATCAGTTCTTATTTACGTTTTTGAATATTCAAATAATAATTTCATCAGTTTTAACAATTTCTAAAAATTCATACAATAACTCATCAATTTAAAAAAAAATTCAAATATAAATTAGTTTAAATTGTATTATGTTTTTTTTATAAAACACAATATTGTTATAACAAAAATATATAGATTTTTTTTTTGAAAACACAACCTTATAGGTGGTTGGAAGAAAAAAAAATTGACTTATGGAAAATGTTAATAAACTTAATGTTAATTTAATGAACTTAATATTAGTTAAGTGAAGTGATATGTATTTTACTATGACATCAGATCAGTTTTATAACTCCTTAAACTTCTTAAAGTTGCACTCATTTCCACCAAATGAGCATCGGATAAATGTTTTTGAAACGGGCTTGTTGATTTTCTTCAAGATACAATGTGATACTACATTATTTAACTAGTATAGGTAGTATGACATTTTTCCCACTTCGATTGAGTCCTCCGTCGTGGTATAAACCTGTTGCTTTTACAATTAGGTACGTTAACAGTAATCATTACGTCAAAATATCTTTGGCATAAGGGCACCCGATGCCTTCTATTGTGCAAAATTGGTTTCGTTTCAAATATGATTGTGTACACGCATGGGCTACTCCGTACATGATCCGAATAATAAGTACGAGCAACTGTTATCAAGTAATCGTATTACGGAATTTACTTCACTTGATTGAGTTGTAATATATATTTTCAGATTTTTTGTACTTTATTTGTTGATTTATTAATTAACTTATTTTGATGATCATTTTTGTATTAAATTATTTTATCTTTATAACTTTAAATATTTATTTTAAAAAATACATATATAAATTATTAGTTAATTAACAAAAATTCAATACAATTAAAAAATTAAAAAAATAAAATTAGAAAATAATGTTGAAAAAAATTATAGAACATAAATTTTTGAAAAAAAATTAATGAAAAAAATAATTTATTGGTTGATTTTGACATAAGAGGATTGCACTTTACCAATAAAGAGGGGTGCATATATCCTTACCAAAACACTATTTCAAACAGAAAATCCATCTTAATAAGTTAATCAGTGCTACATTATTATTAGCACGTATATATATATATATTATATATATATATACACATACATGCATGCATGTTAGAATGCATGCATATATGTTTCATTACATTTTTGCTTTTGTCCAGCTTCGATCCTTGTGGGTTACCTTAATTCGGCAACATTTCCAGGCATATTAGAAACTGTTATAGCCGTCCAGTCTCTTTTATCATCATGAAAAGTCCCATTTTGATCGATTGCGATGTCCTTGGGCTTCTTGAAGAGGGCTTGTTTAGAGAGTTCTTCGATATCCTCAGAAATCGTTTCGACACATTTTATGACATCGGATAGTGTTGAAACGGTTGCGATAACCGCTATCATTTCTACCATGTCCCACTTCTCTATCATTGAAGCTTGTAATGTGATATTGAGTTCGTCTACTGCCCTTTTGCAGTTCTCCATATGAATAGCTGAAGCAGAAGGATGCATCATTAGTTTCATCGATAACCCTAATTCTTTCAAAGCTTTTCCTACTTCTGAGCTCACTTTCATCAATGGTTCTTGAATTGTTTTCTGAAATTCTGAAGGCACCTATAGAGGAAAACATGAAGTTAGCGACCATGGTATATGTATGTATATATATATATATATATATATATATTATACAGAAGAAAAATATAAAAGCAAATAAAACGCTCATACTTCAACTGCATCAAGATATCCATTGAGAGCTTCGATATGGTATGCACATCGTCGTGTGGAAACCCCAATCTTCAAGTATTGTTTCCACGGATGACGAAAGAGAAATTTTCCATGCCCTACTTCCCACCATGCGAAATTTGCCTGTTTCCAAACATTAATCATATCAATATATAAATATTTAACTTTTTCTAATTAAGCAGAATATCCAACCCGTTATGTGAGTCGACTAATCCTAGAACGGCCACATGCTTTGCAGATAGCTCGGAGTCACCGCATTTGAACCTCCGTGACCATAAGAGGATTTTTATTCCTCCTTAGATTTGAACCTGAGGCCTGTAGGTACTTTTGACCTTTGGGAGATGAATTTCAAAAACGAAGTATTTAAAAAAGAAGAGCATCCCTGCATGTATACTAACCAAAGATTCTTCCGCAAGTTTAGAATTAGAGACACTTTTATAAGATGTTAGAAATGATCTGTCACCCTCAAAAGTTCTGTAGTATTCACCCCCAAATCCTATATATAAAACGTCGTAGTGTTATTATAATTTTTAACTCGTTAATTAATTAAAGAAAATAAAAAAACTAATTAGAAATTCACCTTCTAGGAAGCTTGCGAGCTTCTCCAAGTTAAGAACAATGAGGTTATGCAGATCTTCACCAGCCCACACGGGACAAATACATATGGTGACGATTATACACGTTACACCACCGAAAATGATCGTTGATAAGCGTTGGTGAGCAAACTTCATGATTTTATCAACCCGATAACCCGTAACAGCCACCATGCTAAAAGTCAAAATAAATAACAAAATCCCATAATCGTATCTTCTCTTAATTGCAGGACTGAATCTTGAAAATGTGGCACAAGCAACTGCATGAGCAAGTTTCAAATCAAAAATTAATTATAAAGCTATGAGTTGTATGTATTCTTTGTAGAGATTAATTAATGAACCGCGAGGACTTTACCTAAGACGAAGACAAGGCAACCGATAACAATCGGCTTAACGATGGTCCCGAATAAGCTGGCAAAGGATTCGGCCCCAAGACCTAATGCACCGGCTATTAGAGTTGCAAAACCTCTATTCATACCTTTGCTGAAAGTTGCACCTACTCATAAACGGAAAAGAATCATTTAGAATACCAACTTCAAATTAAGTACCATGCTTCACACTGTATAGATGAATGATCGTTAGTGTATTTTTAAGTTTTTCATATTTTTGTGGTTTTTTCCTTAAAAACACATACGCATATATATGTATATATGTATATATATGAAATTAGAGTGTTACAATGAATGTATAATTAGTTGCTCACCGACGGTGTACTCAAAAACCACAGCGACGGTCAAGATAGCCCACATTCCGGCTTCACCCATGCCGTTATAGAAGGGCTGAAGATAGTAAACCATGGAGACCAATGTGATGGCTAATGCCACCTTCAACGAGTGTACAATCCTTCTCGGATCATCTTCTCCAATCTTCTTGAATTCAAGTATGACATGCTTCATCTTGGAAACAGAGGTAGCGAAAAGGGTACTGCTAGGGTTTTGATGGGATGATGATGATGGTGGTGAAGAACCATTCTCCATTGCCATATATATTATATATCTAGGTGGTATATATAAGAGGGAGATGGGAGAGAGCTTATAAACGGTAAAGCCTTAATATATATATATATATATATATAGGGGCTTAATCAAATGAGAACTGATTTGTTTGTGGTAACTGTGAGAACCAATCTCAACCATATATTATAAAAATCAATGGATATAATTAAAAAGAATATTAATTAATATATTTCTATAAATAAATTAATATTATTTAATGAAATTATATGAATAAGGGTAAGATCGTCATTTTACAATTAAATTTATTGAGTCGGATACAAAACGCGCGCTCAAATCCGTTAAGATTCTTGTTCTATTCGAATCCTAATATGGTAAAGATACTTTCTTCTATTTGAACGGAGAGGTTATCTTAAGCCCTAGTCTAATCGCAACTGCAAGTGTATACATAGACGATGGAGGAAGGCGAAGGAAGAGGTATAATCGATTTCTGTTCTTCATTTTCAATATGAATAATCCCGTAACCCTTGATTATGTAATGTGGAATGGTACAGGAAGAAGGAGCGGTAGGTTGAAGGCGAAATCGATGTTTACCTTCTCAAATAAATCAAGCACACCCATTGACCTAGACGACGATGTTGAAGTCGAGGTTGATACTATAGCCATCGAAGAAACAGGTATCATCCCWTTGCATTTCCTAACACGATTTTAGTTATAAAAGATCAGTTTTAGGTTATAGTGTTGGTGGTTGTTTGTTTAAAACACTATTGAATCAATGGATATATGTTTTTCAGAGTAGTATTTTACCACATTTTGATAATCAATTTGTGCTACATTGTGGTACAATTAGTTTTGATCATGTTCTTTATATAAAAGTTGTGATACACTGTGATCCTTGGGTTTCTTTACAAGTTTTGGTGTCTTTTCTGTAGTTTCTTGAACCAGACCTACCCCCTCCCTTGAGGCCTTCAATCTCAAAGCAAGATTGCTCCTGTAAATGTGTGAGGCAGATAGTTGAAGAAAAATAGAATAGATTTCTTAGTAAATTGAAACATCAACTACCACATGCAGATACAATAAACCAAAATAAGGACATGCTTATCTCTTGGGCTCAATCCCGAAGGTTGCATTGGTGTCTGTAATCTTAAAATTATGTCTTTCCTATAAATCATCAAACAATCAAATCAGATACTTGTGACATATGAACCAAGTGGTTATGGAAATTTTATCCAATTAAGCTCTTGCACCAAGAAAGAGATCTCTAGATTCTGGACTAAGTTAAGAAACAATAACATTTCAAGTTTAGCCTAATGGGGAAAGATGACAACCAAGCCAGATTTAAGGACCAGTTCTTGCTCTGACTTACTCAGATGAAGATCCAAAAGAATGATACAACAATGTGATGTCTGCTAATAAGCTGATAACCAGCTGTTTTCCAAGTCAACCTAAAGATCTAACTTCTAAGTCATCAAACAGATTAAGTTTTAGCAAAGGTCATATTTGTACTGTTATTGAGATTGACATACATGGGTCTGGGATCCTAATAGGCTAAGACTGTCTTAAACTCCGATGTAACCTAATACTAAGTTTGTATTAGTGGTCCCACTACATAATAAACCTATTTCCTAAAACAACCAATTGCCAAGAACAATTATCAAATTGAGAATATAAGGAACATAACCATTTATTTGCCATACACCATCTAAATGAAACTTCACTTTTCTAAACCAGATGCTTTTTCATGTTGCTTCTACATTTAGATGTTAGTTTACTAAAGTACCATATGCAGACTCGAAGGATGCTACTTCAGAAAAATCAACGAATCCCAGAGTATATATTTATCAATTCTTTAAGATATGTATCTCATTCTCTGAGGTAAAGGTCCTCTTCAACCATGCCACCTACTTTGATTCTAGTCTATAAAACCAATTTCCTGTTGATAACCTTTAGGCATGTATCATCAAGGTTTTGACTAGAAAGTTCGTCAGGTCCCACTTTTGTTGCAATATAATCCACCAAGTAATCTTTTGCAAGAACAAATGCTTCAAATAATTTACAACTTGTCACAAATCTAACTCAGAGATTTCAGTTTCTAGACCATAACAAATATGCCATAATGCACTAAAATCGAATACCCAATAAAATCAAGAATTTCGGGTTTTAGATCAATAAAACATAAAATAGGCATTTTTTTTCTATTATAGAAACCCAAGTGTGATGTTACATTGTGTTAGATGCAATTTAAGAGGTGGTAGCTTAGTTTCAAATTGCATCCAAGACTTTAGTGCTGACTAGTTTTCTCCAAATGCATTTTGAAGTCAGCTTGTGCTAAAAGACGTACCCTTTGTCATCAAAGCTGTGATTGCTTGCCATCCATATAACAAGTACTTGTCTAGTATTCCGGTTTTTGTATTCATTATGTACCATCAATCAGATGTGTCACACATTCCTCTGTAGTGCTTCTTAAATATGTCAAATTCTYAAATAAGAGGTTGTGAATTAGTGTTCTTGCTACGCCTATGGTGCAATTTCAGCATGGAGTGTATTGATCATGGGGTAGAAATCAACATTGGGGATACCCCAAAAAGATAGTTTCAAGTATCTAGGCTCCATGATTCAGAAGAAGGGAGACATCCACGTAACACATCTCATGTAACTAAAGTAGAGGGTTTCCACAGGAGTGTTGTGTAACAAGGAGGCCCCAGTAATATTAAAAGATAAATTCTACGGGCCATCAAACAAGCTATATTCAGATGTTGTAAGGGTTTGAGAGGAAGGTCTGATCCAGAAGTTTGTTGCACGAGTTTGTGCTCTSGAAACATGTATTTATTGTTTTGTTTCTTGTTGTGCTTAGTTGCTTACATTATAGTTGTGTGCCCTTCATATACAGTAGCTGGTTTAAGGCTTAACCTGGCACCTTTTAAGTGTTTTACAAATCCTGTCTTAACGAGTATCATTGCATTTGTGTGCTTGTTTTTGTTTATAGCTCCCTTTTTTTTGCGGCTGGGTTCTTATTTGTCCGTGAAATGTCTCCGGAAAGTTGTTAATACCAATAATATGTCCGAGATTGCTAAACTTGATTTTGGTCTTGTTTATATGCAACAAATTTCTCAATCCTTGGTGCACTGTAGGTGCTTAATGTTGGTTACAGGATCTTTTTTGCTGAAAAGAACCCTTCAAAAACTTCATTTTTCTCTATTTTAGAGAAGTTGTTGGAGAT